CATTTACCAATTACCACAAAATTAACCAACAAAATTAACCTTACCACAAAATTTACCTAAAATACCTAACCTAAAGCATTTACCAATTACCAATTACCACAAAATTAACATAAAAACTAAAATACTACTAATTGAAGTTGCCAGTTGAAAATTAGAATCAAGACCAAGAAGGAACAAACTTACAAACGAGAGGCGAGAGCACACAGACAGTCTGTCTTCCTGAGTCGGTCAGTCGCAGCCTCTCGCAGGCGGCCACGCAGCTCGCAGGCAGCCAGGCACAGCTCGCAGGTGAGGTCGCAGCCTCGCAGGTCCGCCGTCCGCCACTGGATCTGGTCGCAGGTCCGCCGTCCACCACTGGATGAAGAAGAAGAGAAGAACTGAAGAAGTGAGCTCGTATGCGGTAATCGATTCGGTATGCGTATGTCTTCAGTCGGTCAGGTGGGGTGAGGTGAGGTTGCAGCGTGAAGAAGAAGAGAAGAAGTGAGGTCGCAGCCTCGCAGGCAGGCGACAGCAGCCTTGCAGGCAGGCGGCAGCAGGCTCGTCTCGTCAGTCGTCACTCGTGTAAGTGTTAGGGTGTATGCTATGCGGTATGTCTTCACGACTTCACAGACAGTTCACTCGACACTCTCATTTCCTGGCTTCCTGCGCACAAGAGGGGCCTCCTACCTCATGTTGTTGGGGGCCCAATGACACCTAATCTCAAAATACAAGTAAAAAAAATTGGGCTTTCCTATTCAATTTTTGTTGGGGGCCAGGACCCCAACGACCTTGTACTGCGTCCGCCACTGAAAATAGTTCAAGAAATGATAACCAAATAAGTTTAAGTCTTATAAAAGAATCTATTATGATATTCATACATTTTTTACATCCCATAAAGCCAATTTTATTGTAATGTCACCGATATCATCGCCATTTTCAATTAGTCACTAATTAAAAATTACTTTGACAGCTGTTGCTAATGGACCTGCTGGTGGACCTACAAGTTCAGCAAGTTCCCCAACTGGCTCAACCGGTTCAGAAATAGTGCCTTCACAAGAAACCCCAGAAGCTGAAGCTATAGCTCCCATTACATCATCAACACCAACTATCACTTCTGGTAATTTACCTATCATTTATCGACTTAGGGCCTGTTCGTTTAGCTTAACGAGTTTAATGGGAATTATAGTTTATTCGGTCATCTATACAGAACTGTTTGGTAGTGGTTTAATAATATAAAAAAAACTTATTCCATAAGTTTCTAGGGGAGGCTTTATGCAGAAACTCAAGATTTTCTAAAACATGTTATCTCAATTAAAAAAGGCTCCTTTCATCTATTAAAAAGCCTTACAAAACAAAAATATTCTAAATTTATACAGACAAATTAATCCACACAGATAACTTTATCCATACATGAATTTAATGAGACTCACTGCTTATGTGGTCAACTATACATGACTGTTTGATAATGGCTTAATAATAATGAAAATTGGCTTATTC